ATTTTCATACAGAGTTAGAAAATAGTCCTTCAGGGGTCCCAGCTCCAGGCAGACATCCATGTTCCCACTCGCCATGTGGTGGAGAACTCTTCTATCCTAACTCAGTGGGAACCACCTGCCCCATCTTCCCCACAGCAGCCACGTGACCAGTGCTCCTGCTCGTCCTGTGATTTTCAATCCTTTCTCTGTTTCTGGCACATTTACCTGGCTCTTTCCCAAACCTAGCTGCACATGTTTTGTTTTTTTTTTCTTTTAAGTATGTTTTACCCAGCATTTCTAGGTGTTCACAATAGAAGGTTTTTCACATTTTCTAAGCTTGCCTTCTCACCAGACCTGGAAATTGTTTCATAATGACCTGACTTCTTAGTCAAGGGCTTTGCACCAGGGTTGAGCTCAGGGTAGGACATGCATCTGGGCAAGTGGAAGTGTAGCCCCTTCCAACTCCTTGCTGCCCTCTCTAGCAGATTTTGTGGTGAAGAGCTGCCTCCGGGAGAGAAAGCTGTCTCCCTTCAGCTTAACATTTTCACAAGGAAATGTGAAATTTCCTGACCACACGTTTCAGATTCCTCATTTCATGCCTCACTTTTACAGCTTCCCTGAATCCACGGCTGCATTGAATCACAGCAGCAAACACCATCCTGGAAACAAACAACATCCAGAGGCACAAGCAAGCCAACACTCAGGCAGGAATCACACAGACACTGCAGGGAAACTGTTCTGCAGTGTGCTGTCCATGCTCGTGAAGTAAGGGCACCGTGGCCACATTCCACTGCTGCCCGCCATTTTGGCTTCTGAAGGATCAATATATGAGGGCGTGTGGGAAAACCTGAATGAGAACACGTCATCACTGCCTTTTGCTAATCTGATTGAGGGTTTATATCATTCGTTTTCACCAGCTTTAAGGGTTGCTGGCAGAAGGGAAGATGAAAGCTTTAAGGCAGGTTGGTGGAAATGAAGTCCAGAGAGCTTCCTGCGGCAACTCTATGAGCTGTGGCCCAGGAGCATATTTCCCTTTCTTCTGCTCTGTTTTGGTTAACATCAGATGTCAGCACTCTGAGCTCTTAAAAATGCATAAAGCTATGGAAAGGTGGATGTTCATTTTAGTCTTATGGACCAGACAGCAACAACACTTGTCATGGCCAGAGAGGGATGTGAGAAAGGCATGCAGTGCTGTGAGGGGGTGAGACAACATCAGGCATCTGGGTCCCACCCTTCCCAGAGCCACATCTGTTGTGTGGTGGCAACAGCCTTGGGTGGGAGTGGAAAGAGCCTAGAGCAGGTGGTGCGACTCATGGTGTTCTAGCAGAGACAGCATGGGTCCGCCTGTGCATCCTGTGGGCTCAGTGCTCACCCCAACCCTCAGGCCTGGTGTTCTCAGCTCCTGCTGCCTACAGAGTCAAGTCCAGATGCCGCCCAGTCACCCAACACTCGCCTGTCCAAATCCCCTGCTGGTGCAGGTCCACCCCCCATCTCTCCATCCTCACCAAACAAATTCCACTCCACCTGCCCCTTTGGGCCTCCTGCCCTCTGCCTGGAACCCCTGCTCTGTCCCCTCCCCTCTGACACAGCCTCTGCGTCAGTCTTTGGGGCCAACAGAGAAGTAAGGAGGAAAGAGCCTAGGTGAGTGGTGTGAGTATGAATATGAGTGTGTACACACATCTGAGTGACTGTGTCCGTGTGTTTCTGTGTGTTTTTTTCCTCAAACAGACCGAAGAGTGGTGGTGCCTCCTTCTCCAGGCTGTGGTGCACGTTTCGTGTAGGCCCCAGTGCGTAACAGGTGCTCAGGCCATAGTGGCCCCCCACCTGCCCCGTTTACTCCAGCCACGGTGGTGATGCTTCTCCCCATCCTGCGTGCCTTCCATAGCATCATCAGCCCTGAGCCCCTAACCTGACTGTGGCCCCCAGACGACTCACTTTGCCTTGAAGGGGCTGTCACCCCTCCCAGAGCCTCAGTCTCCCCATCTGTGAAATGGGAGTGGCCTCCTCACACCATAGAGCTGCCTGTGTGGTCAAGTGAGGTAGCCCGCCTGTGACAGCACGTGGCAGTGAGACCTTGTCACTCGGTTACAGTGCCTCTCAGCCTGCTTCCCAGCCGAACACCCCTTTTCTCCCAATTCCTCCCTGGTTTCCTCTGGCGTACTGTAGGATGTTGCATGGGGTTCCCCCACAAGGATCCGTGTCATACACATGCAGGTGCCACGCATGCATCCATGCGCCCCCTCGGATGGGGCAGGTGCCCATCCCTGGCCATTCATCTGCCCCCAGAGTTCAGTTCTAATAGAAAGTGAGTCAGGTTTCTATTCTATTCCAGATCACTTGTGATTCCTTCATTCACTCCAGGAGACACTGGGCCTTGATTTCCAGATGCTGTTTCTGACCTGGGATAAGGAAGTTTTTAGCTAGTGAAGAGGAATAGAAAGTCCTCACAGGAAGCAGAGTCGGGCTCTTCTGGGCACTGCATGGGGGTCATCAGCCTTCCACTTCATTTCTCACTGCTCCCCGTTGCTGCCTCTTACCCCTCAAGGTCAGAGTGACCCCGTTCTCGGTGGTCAGGGCAATCGCAGACGTGGCAGTGGTCTCATGAGGCTGTCGTGAGAGTCAACACGCAGTCGAGTATGAGGAGTACAGCTTGCCCTTCCCTCCTTACATTCATGCTCTTTCTGCTCTGGTTTCTTTGCCTGCTTATCTTCCTGACACTCAAGCCCAGTGGGTTGTACCCACTTTAACAGGACATCCCGACACCCAGTGCATTCATGGGACGAATGTGGGGTCGGGCAGGACTGGGCGTGCTGCTGGGGAGAAGCAGGCTTCTCAGGGACTGGCTCTGGGTGGGAACGGGACCCCTCAGGGCCTTTGTGTCTTCCAAAGGAGGACATCCAAACCATGGTCTCTGCGTGTCCCTGAAGACACATGTGGGTGAGCACATGCAGGAGCCCAGGAGCCCTCGAAATCTAACCCAGAGAAAACACACCGCTGCCCTACGAAATGGGTCGGCCATGTGGGCTGAGCCAACCCCAGCATCAGTAGGCCACCAAGCAGGCATGAGCAGGGAGGTGGCGCCCTGGGCTTCCATGTCTCCTGGTAAATCTCAGACCCAGTCCTCATTTATCCATGGGCTCTACGAGCTTGTATATTTTGTGGAATGTTTGGTCTAACTTTTTCCATTCAGGATGGGTTGATGTAGCTGCTCCTTGTATTTCGAAGTAAGGCTTATTAGTACCGTGTGTGGATTATAAATAGCACATGTCAGAATTGTAGAAAGGGTGGGAAATTGTAAAGAAAACATAACATTACCCATAATGCATGAGGACACGGCGTGAACAGGAAGAGGCATGAGGGACCTTTCCAGGGCACTGGCAACGTTCTGGATCTTTCCGGGGGTTTTGGTGACTGCACAGGCATGCACATGTATCAAAGCTTCCACAAACACACAACTAAGATTTGCACATGTAGATCTGATATTCAAAGAAAAACTGTAAGCACTTACTGCACTTGGGTTAATGATATGAATGATGAAACGTTCAGGGGGATTGTTCGGACGTCTGCAATTGACTTCGAAGTGCATGAAAAAAAAATAAGAGGGCTTGATGAAGGCTCGAAGGATAGGTATGTGAGGAGCCAAATCAGTAAAATGTTAGTGGTAGAATCCAGATGGCGGACATATGAGTATTTGCTATAAAATTCTTTCAACTTTGCTGTATGTTTGAAAATCTGCGTCATAAAATACTGAGGGACAAAGATGATTATTAAGGAAAAATCCATATTTACTATCCAGACATGAGCACTGATAATATCGTAGTGTGCATTATTTTCTTTAATCTTCATTTCCAAGAACATCTAACTTTCTATAATTAAGACCTTCTTACATAAAAAGATTTATTTCCATTTTTTCACTAAGTTTTGTAGCATAGTTGGTTTTTTTTTTGTCATACAGAGTCTTCAGTGTTTAATTTTTAAATGAATGTATAATTTACATGCAGTGAAACTCACACATTGTTCCACGAGTTTTGACAGATGCATACAGTCAGGGAAGCACCCTCCACTGACTCACACCCAGACCCTGAGGCCACAGATGTTTCCAGAATGTCATTAAAGTGGCATCCTACCACACGTAGCCTGTGACTGGCTTCTCTCACTCAAGCACAATGCCTGTGAGCTCCATCCACATCATTGCATGTACCACCAGTTTGTTCCTTTTTAAAAAAAAAAAAAACTATTGGGGCACCTGGGTGGCTCAGTGGTTGCGCATCTGCCTTTGGCTCAAGTCATGATCCCAGGGTCCTGCATCCAGCTTCCTGCACAGAGCCTACTTCTCCCTCTGCCTGTGTCTCTGCTTCTCTCTCTGTGTCTCTCATGAATAAATAAATAAAATTTTTTTAAAAAGAGATTTTATTTATTTGAGAAAGAGAGAGAGAGAGCTGGTGGGGGGCAGGGGTAGAGAGAGAGAGAAAATCCTGAGCAAACTCCCCTCTCAGTGTGGAGCCTGACATGAGACTCAATCTCACAACCCAGAGGTCATGACCTGAGCAGAAACCAAGAGCCAGACGCCTAACCGACTATGCTACCCAGGCACCCCAATTTTGTTCCTTTTTATTGATGTAATATTCCATCATAAGGATGCATATTAGTGTGATTTTAATGCTTGTGAAAAGTCTGTATGCCAGAACATGTTTTATTTATGTATTCTTTGGTTATTCGGATACTTAAGATGTTTTATTTTTTCACTATTATAAATGCCATCACAGCACACTTCTTTATATATAAATCATTGTCATCAATTCCTGGGAAGGGAATGACAAAGTCGTACATTATAAATACTTTCAAAGTGGATAAGACTTTTTGAACTAAGAAGCTTTTCCTTGCATGTCCTTATGTGGTTGGTGACGCACGTGGCTTACAACTCCCCCGGTGCTTATAACCTCCCTCCACTTTTTGGTGTTGTCACTGTAGAACAGGCTAGAAGACTCCACATCGGCAGCGAGCCTCTGACGTCCTAAGTCATGGAGACCAACCAGGACACGTCCCTCTTCTTGATGAAGATCTTGGAGGAACTGGACAGCAAGCAAAACACGGTTTCCTACCAGGATCTGTGCAAGTCCCTGTGTGCCCGCTTCGACCTCTCGCAGCTCGCCAAACTGAGAAGCGTGCTCTTCTACACGGCCTGTCTCGACCCCAACTTCCCAGCCACGCTGTTCAAAGACAAGATGAAATGCACCGTCAACAACCAGCAGTCCAAGAAGATTATGGTGGCAGCAGACATCGTGACAATATTTAACCTGATCCAAATGAATGGAGGCGCCGCCAAGGAGAAGCTGCCCAGTGGCCGGCAGAAGGTGCGCAAGAAGGAGACATCCTTCGAGTCGTGCAGGTCGGACACGGAGGTCTGCGCTGCGGCCGAGTGTGAGCCCCTGAACTGTGAGCTGAGCGAGACCTTCCACCGGGGCTACCCCGCCCGGCGATCGTCCCAGGGCCGCAAAGTGGACCGCAAGGACTGCCCACAGTTCCTGCCCGCCTCCGAGCCCAACTTCCTGCTGGGCGTCAGCAAGGAGCTGAAGAGCCGTGCGGCCTCCCTGGACCGGCTGCAGGCCCTGGCCCCCTACTCCGTCGCCAGCCCCCAGCCCTGTGAGATGCAGAGGACCTACTTCCCCATGAACATTGAGAACGAGTCCATTTCAGATCAGGACTCCCTGCCCATCGGCCAAGGCATCAAGGAGACCTTCATTGCCAACGAGGAGCCATTTGTGGTCCAGTCCTGTGTCCAGAAAAGGAATATCTTTAAAGAGGATTTTCACAACCTGATGACTGTGTCCCCCACATTGGTTGGCCCTGCTAACAAGGCTGAGGCTGAGCGCGGGGAGCCCCAGCGTCAGAAGGAGTCCCACAAGACTCCCTTCTTCAACCACAGCTTTGAAATGCCCTACAACAGCCAGTACCTGAATCCCGTCTACTCGCCGGTGCCTGACAAGAGGCGAGCAAAGCATGAAAGCTTGGATGACCTTCAAGCCTCCACGTATTTTGGGCCCACGCCAGTGATGGGGCCCCAGGAAGCCAGGCGCTGTCCCGGGAGGCCGGGCAAGCAGACCCCCTGGCCGGTCAAAAGCTGGAGCCTGAATACTGAAGAAGTCCCTGACTTTGAACGATCCTTTTTCAATAGAAATCCTTCTGAGGAGAAGCTGCGCTACCCGAATTCCAGCAGCCAGAGCCCCAACTTCCCAACCCCAGACAGGCGCCCCACTTACCTGGCGCCAAAGGACCCACAGCAGCCGATCCTGCCCGTTGGCTACGTGGCAAAACCAAATGGGCTCAAATCTAAAGAGATGTCGTCACCCGTCGATCTAGAGAAGCATGAGCCGGTCAAGAAGTTCAAAGAGAAGAGCGTCAGCTGCACCAGCGGGCAACTCAGCTCTGACACCAGCAGCGTGGGCACCCAGACAGAGCAGCACGTGCTGGAGCCCCAGAAGGGCAAAGACCTGTGCACCTCGGGGCAGAGCAAGTACGCCGACAGGCACACCAGAAAGCTGTCAGACGATGACTCGGAAATCATCAGCGATGACATTAGTGACATTTTCCGATTTCTGGATGACATGAGTATCAGCGGCTCCACAGGGGTGATGCAGTCTTCCTGCTACAACAGCACAGGGTCCTTATCTCAGGTCCATAAGTCGGATGGTGACAGTTCCCCCGAGCGCCACCTGACCAAAATTGCCAATGGGCTCTCCAGCAGCAAAGGGGAGAAGGGCAACCGGCCAGAAAACAGCCACCCCTCGGAAGAGGAGCTGAAGACCAGTGTGTGCAGGCTGGTGCTCAGGATCGGCGAGATCGAACGGAAGCTTGAGTCGCTGTCGGGAGTCCGCGAGGAAATCTCCCAGGTTCTGGGCAAGCTAAATAAGCTGGATCAGAAAATGCAGCAGCCCGAGAAGGTGAGCGTGCAGATCGACCTGAATTCCCTGACGAGCGAGGCGCCCTCCGATGACAGTGCCTCTCCGCGGTTGTTCCGCGCACACAGCGGCCCCCGGGGCCCCAAGCTGGAGAATGCAGCCGACTGGTACTGCTCAGATGCCAGCGGGAGCAACAGCGAGAGCCTTCGCGTCAAGGCCCTGAAGAAGAGCCTCTTCCCCAGGCCGTCCTCCAGGTCCCTGACCGAGGAGAACAGCGCCACGGAATCCAAGATCGCCAGCACCTCCAACTCGCCCAGAGACTGGCGCACCATCACCTACGCCAGCCGTGCGGGCCTCGGTGAGGAGGACGGCAAGGACAGAGGCCCTGGGGAGAGTAAGGACTGGCATCGCAAGTCTAAAGAGGTAATGTCATCCATGCCTGCCACCCTGGGCACTCCAGCCCTCACAGTCCTGGTGCATGTCCTGGCCCTGAGTGTCATGGGAGTCAGGAGAGAGGCCTTCCCTCCAGGTGTGGCAGGCTGTCCGTGTTAGAGCATGGAGGGCGGAAGGCAGCGTGTCTGTCCCGCCAGCTCCAAGGAGCACGTCCCGTCAGCTAGACATGGGGAGAAAGCGGGGTTGGGATATGGAATGGGTGGTGGAGGCCAGATTCTCCTAGAATGGGGGATGTAGTGGAGCGGCGGGCGTTGCCAAGGATGACTTCCTCTTCCTTCTGGAACCGCAGGGTGCAGGCAGAGGAAATGGGTCCGGGCACCTCCAGGCACGTGGGCTCGGGTGTCCCCTCCCTGTGTTGCGTGGATTCATGGGGCTCTTCTTTATAGGTTCGAGTTTTTCCATGGTGAGATGGGTAGGTGACTAGTAAGAAAAGCAAGACCAATAAGGAGATTGGTCCCAGCATGGCTGCCCGAGTACAGCAGCTCCCCAGATGGCCCTTTGCTCTGTCACTGTTGTGTGTCACCCTTGTGTGCTGGGCTGTTTTCGTGCTAGTTTGAGTGTGTTTGCATCTCCCAGTCTGTCCAGGGCAAGCACACGCACAGGTGCTCCTATCCCTCGTCCCCTCATTCCCTGCAGCTGGGGGACCTGTGTCAGTGGCATCTGGGGCCGCTCTTCATCCCTGGGTTACCGTGATGCAGTTTTCAGGTGCTGCTTTCCTCAGCCCCTCCCCTGATTCTGAAGGTCAGGGGAAGGACCAGAGGGTCCAGCATCAGAGAGGGAGTGACGGTGGTGCGGGCTTGCAGACACATGGAGTCGCGGGGGGAGGCTGGGTTCCCTAGAGGGGGTCGAGAAGGAGAAGCTTGGAAAACTGGCCCTCAGCAGGTTTGCAGTGTCCAAAGAGAGGGAAAAGAGTAAATAAAAAAGGTGATATTTTTTCTGATCTCAAGCAACCATGTGGTATCTGTGCTGGCGGCTGTTCTATCCTTGTGCAGCCGCGTACTGCATGTGGTGTTGGCAGGAAGCGGGTGTGATAGGGGCTGGTCCCCGTGCAGGTGCACGGCGGCTCACCAGGCATTCATGCAGACCGTCCCTCCTCCCTCCCTCTGCTCTCAGTCCTGGTTTCCCCTCTTCTGCGTCAGGAGTGCGGCTTCCTGGGGTTGGTGGTAGTGGGGGGGGGGCAGGGCTTGGCACCAGAGTGTTAGCTCCAGGCAGTGGTGTAACCGTTACCGGCTGTGCCCAGAGACCACTCCTGACAGGCATACTTGGTATCTGGGTGAATGAGTGCACCCCGCTAGCTCTGGCCACATCCCGCCAGCTGGCTGGCCACAGGGCTGGGGATGTACACCCAAGGCCGCCCCACTGTGCTGTGAAATCCTAGTCTCTCTGCCGCCTTTCTGGACTTCTCTGTGCCTCTCTGCAGGCAGACAGACAGTACGACATCCCCCCCAGCACCGACTGCCCAAGCAGCCCAAAGACAGCTTCCTGGTGGAGCAGGTGTTCAGCCCGCACCCCTACCCGGCATCCCTCAAAGCCCACATGAAGAACAACCCTCTGTACACGGACATGCGGCTGACGGAGCTGGCCGAGGTGAAGCGGGGCCAGCCCTCCTGGACCATCGAGGAGTACACGAGGAACGCGGGCGACAAGGGCAAGCTGACCGCCCTGGACCTGCAGGTGAGTGTCTCGCTGTCCCGGGGAGGGGGGTGGCGGGGGGAGCCCAGCCACGCCCCGGCCGACACAGGAAGGACCTCAGGTGGCCTAGTCCAGCCTGCTCCCTCACCCTTCAGCGCCCCGGGCCCCCTGAACTTTGTAAGCCACAGAGCAGAGATTTTTAAAGAGGGGAACGTTATTTTGCTTTTATGTTTGTAAACGATTGATTATTTACTTTGGCCACCCGATTTGCTAACAGCGTGTTTAAGACTCTGTACCAAGTGCAGATTCTCGCATTTGCTCACGAGACCTGAGCTCAACCGTTTAATGAGATACAAGCTGATTTCTCCTTCCATACGTAGCACGTGGGATAAGCATATTTGTGGGAGCCAAGCTATGGACTATGTTTCCATACGGAGCAGTCCCAGGTAAGAGCCACCCCCGGGAGCTCTGTGAATGCAGTCGTGGCCGGAGGGCATGTTTTCTGTTCACCACACGCGGGGCTGGGGTTCAGTCACACGTGTATGCGGGTGGGCAGGTCCACTTGGTCCCCTTCGTGTGGCGCCTGTGTCTCTGCATCACCGCGGAAGCCCAGGCAGTGGCCTCTCCCTACCTGCAGGATCAGCAATGTGGGCAGCAGGGCCATAGCCTCCACAGTGCCAGTGCTACATGTCCCAGAATGAGCGTGTCACTTAGAGGCCGTGGGAGAGATGCCAGCGGAGCTGGTGCGGGCCTGAAGCAGAGGGGCTGAGGTGGAGGCGGGGGCACGGTGTGGGAAGAGGCTCCTTTGCTGTGGGACCCAGAACGTTCATGCCCCTGCTTGGGCATCCATCCCCTCACCTGTTTGGTGGGCACACTCACAATCTGCCTTGCAGAATCATTGTGACGGGTCTGAAAATAAGGTATTTAAAGTATCAGCATGAAGTGGGCCATAACAAGGATTGTAGGGGCTGGTTATATGATGCTAAGATAGTTGAACTCCTCAGGGGCTTGCACAGCAGACTGTGAGCGCAAGGCACATGGACGATTACGGTCTCCTCCAGCTTCCAAACAAGGGACCGAAGAGCTCCGTACTGGCCTGGGGTTGGACACGTCCAGATTCGATCTGGACCCAACCCACAGCCTGTGTTCTTCCTCCCATGTTGCCTTTCCTATTGGCGAGAGTGTCCGAGAGCCTCGTGTCCCCACCATGACTGCAATGACATTTGTTTGTATTGGGCCCTAAGTGATAGCAACGAGGGGAGGGGATGGCTCTGGCCAGATCCTCCCAGTGGGGTTCATAGTGGTGGCCACTTATCTTCCGCATGCCGTGTCCCCCATGTGTGTGTGTGGCAGGCCACTTTCTGTCCTCGCCCTGCTATCCAGACTGCGGTGGACTCCCCTGCAGGAGGGCGGTGGACGGCTTGGCCATAGGCGCCAGTCACACCGTTCTCGGTGGGTATCAGGCCCTGAGGTGTGAGAGGCTTCGCTAGTGCGTGACCTTGAAAGGCACAGGTTAATTGAGTGAGTCATAGATTGAGAAACATCTCTATAGAGTGTGGGCAATGGAGGCTGCACATAGGCACATGTGACATTGCTGTGCCAGTGTTTATAGAGACAAAATTATAAGAAATAAGAGTAGATCTTCACATTAGAGCACTCTGGATGATGTCACTTAGAAATGCAAAGAACCACATCTCCAGCTGCACAAAACAGGAGGGAATGTGGCTTGCACGGCCTGACGAGGATGTTTGCTGCAGAGCCAGGCCGACGTCGGGAGCCTGAGGAAGGCAGCGCAGGCGGCCTGAGAGGCTCTGGTGGTGTCAGAGCAGCGTGAGCACCTGGATGGGGTCCCCTTGTGTGCAGATGTGCATTCCCTGTCAGTGGGGCCCTCCTGAGTGTGTTTTCACTGCCAGAGTCTGGCAGGCCTGGTGACAACAAGGTACCCTCCCCTGGTCCCTGGAAACCTTGGGATCACTGCTCTACTTGCTGTCATTAGAGCTTGTGCTTACTGAAAAATTAAAATATTAAAATTAGTTTATTTCGCAGGCTGACCCCCAGCCCATGAAGTATACGTATATGGAAAGATACCGATTTCCTGCTTGAGCTGGAGGGAACAAGACACCTGATGTGTGCTGTATGTGTGGCTTGCCTCCTTGGCACGGTCGGGAAGATGAGGTGGTTGGTGCAGCCCACGCGTGGCCAGAGCCTGTCTTGAAGGTCCAGGGCAGGGAGGGTAGCTGTCCACCTTCCGGAAGGAGAACAGACAGACCCTTTGGGTGGTCCCCCACCACTGCACACCAGTCTCCCAGCCAGATATGCCCATCCTGGGTCTGTCTGTCCTGTCTAGTGTCTGTGAAATTGCTGAAAGGCTTTTGTGGCCACAGCCACACACTCCAGGTACCCACAGAGAGCAGAGCTTTGGTGGGGAGGGAGCTCTGGCTCGATTGTACAGACAGGCATTGGTCCACACAGTGGGAGTGAGCAGCTCAGGGAGGCCGCGGCTCCTGGGACTCTAGCGGAGGACACTGTAGGGGGGCTCTTGCATAGATGGAGCATCCTGACTTTAGGACTTTACATGACCCGGGGAGTCCTGTTCTCATGATGGATGTGAGGGTGGCCAGCGTGACTTTGCATCCTGCAGATGATAAGAGCCCATAAATGTTCTGACTCAGTGAGGAAGGGGCCTGGGAGAGTCCCATCCTTGTCATTATGCAGTGTGGCATAGAATATACCAGAACAGGGGTTGTAAAGGTAGATGGTGACCAATCTAGGCCTCAAGGCCTCTCCGGTGTCTGTCACAGCTGCTTAACTCCATCGTGGCTACTTGAAAGCAGCTCCCAAAGATCTGTGAATGGCTGGGTATGGCTGTGATTTGAGGGAGACTTATTTTGGATGGCAAGATTTATAATTTCCTATAACGTTAACATAACATGAAATAATCTTTGATTTTGGCAACCATTTAACAATGTAGGGGCCATTCTCAGCTGGTGGGCTCTTCACAGGCATATGGTAGACTGGACATGGGACGATCAGGGAGGGGGCTGTTATTGTGCGGTGGGCAGGGTGAGAGCCCAGGGACCAGTACCAGTGACAGGACATTGTCACCCTGGGATCCGAGGCAGAGGGAAGGGAGCTGTTTCTGAAACTCACTGAGACCCACGGTTCTGCAGCAGGTGCCTGGTAGGAACTGAGAATTCATTGTCTGCTGACTGGGCCCACTTGGGTGGGTCCCTGGGGCCAGGCTCCTGGGACACGGAACAAGGCAGGAAAGGACAGAGGGTGCATCTGTGAAGGGCAGGTGATAGTCAGTGACATGGGTTAGATTCACCAGTATTCTCCCAACAATACAGTACAACTCAGTTTTTTAAGTTTTTGAAGGATTTGTTTTGTGATCTTGTGTATGTGAAACAGACTTTTTTATGTGTACATGTTTAGAGCATTAAGCCGAGAAAAATATTCAAAATGGATATTTTGTTTGAATTTCAAAGATTGAGGTGACCTTTCTTGGAATTTCATTGTTTGCTCTTATGTGACACTATATTATTAAATGCTGGCTGTAAAAGGAGAACGCTGCCTCTCCTCATGGGAAGAGATTGTAACCATCCCAGGGGAGCGGGATCTGCGGGCAGTACAGGTTAAAGATGGTATTTTTTCTGCAGAGAGCGCATCTGTCTCAGGGAGACGGGTGACGTCAGGTGGGTCCTGCCTCTGGGGATGCAGCCCCGGGCATGGGGGCAGTCTGCGTGGATCTGTAGACCTTGACTCTGAGCAGTGGCCTGACCTGCTCAGACAAATGTTTGAAATGGAAATATTTTATATATATTTTTTGAGCTGCTTATCTGGGAGGTGCCTTTGATTTTTCAATAGACCTTTGGTGAGGAACTGGGCCCGGAATCAGAGCGAGAGGACAGCCTTTTTCAAACAAAGGCTCTGTTCTTAAGGACTGCTGGGGAGAACATTTGTCAGGGCCATTGTCAGCTCCTCCTGCAGCGGGGCCAGCCTGCTCTTGGGGGCCAGCCCTTGCAGTCCTGCCCCGTTCCTCTCGGCCCTAATTTGCTTGCTCACAGAGAGGAGACCCGTGGTTTCCCCATGTCTAGACCCTTAGCGCATGGGCAACAAGGGCGAGGCAGGTGCAGTCCATGAGGTGTAGGCGTCCACGGCCTTGGCAGCCTGTCTTAGGTGGGGCCAGCAGGGGATGTCGCAGTCAGCCCTGATGGCCAGCTGCGGACCACTCAGGGGCGTTGGGACCTGGTTTCAGGTGTTCATTGCGTCTCTAACATCTTCTCTTCGCTTCTAGACGCAAGAATCTTTAAACCCTAACAACTTAGAATATTGGATGGAAGATATTTATACTCCAGGCTACGACTCATTGCTTAAACGTAAGGAAGCCGAGTTCAGACGAGCCAAGGTCTGCAAGATCGCCGCTCTGATTGCTGCTGCCACGTGCACAGTCATCCTGGTGATTGTGGTGCCCATCTGCACAATGAAATCATGAGCCCGGGGCTGCCTCGCGGCACACAGCCCATGACTACCGGCGCCTCCCTCTGGAGCCTGAGGTCCCGGGGCAGTGTGGCACCAGCTTGCTGGAGTAGAGATGGAGTCATGGAGGCTTCTGCCAGTGTGAAGATGCTCTTCAGAAAGTATGCATTCCACAGAAAAATCTACCCTCCTCTTGGTTTTGACTTAATGACGCTCGATACATTTGGGGAAGTGCAATATCTTTTCCTAGCAACAGAATGTACTGAACTATCTATTAGTAGATACAAATTGAATTCCAAGCAAAAAGAAAAAAAAAAGTGAATTGGACCCTTTCCATGTTAATGACGTTTCATGATGGGGAATATGTTATAGGGAAGATATTTAATACCTGCCTTGGGGAAGCTAAGGGAGATAGCAAGAGTTCTGTTTTCCTTCATGTTTTCAGACGACTGCAGGTGAAGTAACAGGTATCATGCTCATGAAGGATGTCACTTCTCTGTTGACTGTATCAAGGGCTACCAACTTTTCCTTCTTGCCCTTCTGTCATCATTATGATCTTCATTGCAGATCTTCATGGAACATTCTGGACCTTCCTCCTTGTGCACAGGGTAGGAAGGAGCTGAACTGGCCCATCAGGCCTGGCATGGAGTGTGCTCCCTCTGCTTACTAGGCTGAGGCACTTAGGCCAGGAGACCTTCCTGACGCCACCCTGAGGTGTGGGGGAGAGCTGCTTGCTAACACTGTAAGGTCAGTATCTGAAAATCATGGCCACCGAGGGGTCTCCTATTCTTGCTTGTGGGGTGTGGCTCCACACCTTAGTCTTCTGTCTCCTGGTGGCACTGGCTGCTCTGCTTCTCACAGACGAGGTAAAGAGTTTGGAACTTGTCCTTGTGCCTTGAAGAGTAGAGACAGTGGCTAAACTTTGACATTCTAAATGTAAACCATGGTTTCTGTGTGCCACTAGTACTGGCCATTTCCAGTGGCTCTCACAGGATCTTGAATGCTTGTCAGTAACACAATAAAGGCACCAAGGTATTCTTAACCACAACACCAACTCCAGAGTTCTGAATACTTGTCAGCAGTGCAAAAAAAATTAATTCTCTATTTAACCATTTATCTATCTATATGTCTATCTATATACCTAAGTTTGGGTTATCGTCTTCCCTGTTAAATAACTTGAGAGCAAGGTTTCTCCAGCGTACAGGAAGCTGTTGTAACTCGATCAGAATTTGATCTCAGTTTCCACCTGTCGAATGGTGCTTCGACATAACTGGACAGAAAGAATCCTTTTTAGCATTTGATTCTAATGTCTTGTTACAGGTCAAAGAAAAATGGTTGACAGATCCTAGCTACCTTAATTCTTCTGAGAACAAGGTGGGATATAAACAAATGTTGGTAGCGAGAATAATCACTCTGAACGGTATAATAAATTCCTGAAAGAGAGCTTTGGGGTGAGTCTCAGATTTTAAAGCAATAGGAGTCCAGCATCCATCCCAGAAACCTTCCAATAATGCTTAGCTTGCTCTGTCTAATCCTATAGGTCCCCACATGGAGTAGTCAGGACCTTTCATGCAGTCAACAAATAAGGGATGGATGCTTTCATCCGTAGTGAGCCTTCATTTTTAGGGGTCTTCGTGATACCTGTTTCTATTCTGTTTATGTATGGACTTCCAATTAGGTGACTGAAACTTAAGCCTTAGTATGAAGAACTGAGGATTTATAATCGAAAATGAAAATATATATATATATACATATGTTACTGTCTATCGTCAGAATTTTAGTCTTTTGGTGCTCCATCCTGGGTTGGGTTCACTAAATAAGGTTGTTTCTTTCACCCCAAAGGGGATACTAGAGTCACACCTGCAAGAGTTGGGAGTTGCCAACCCAGCCCTCCTGCCAACCAGTATGGCTTTGTGACACGTTGTCCCTGTTACCACAGTTTAAACCACAAGAGCATCAGAGCTAGGTAGTTCCCAACCTCTTGCTCTATGGTTTGCAGAGAAGTGGAGATACACTTACCCAGGATAAGAAAAACTTTGTCAAATCCCAACCACTGCTCTCCTTGCCAGGTAGGACCACGGGGGATGGACCAAACCATTATTGCCACTGCTCTTGGGTGCACCTGTTCCTAATGAGCCCTGCTTGAGTCATGTGTCTAGCTACCGAGGTGGGGGGAGCATGTGACCATTCCCACTCCATGTGCAGAAGAGGCAAGACTCTATAGAATTTTCTTCTACCCTTTCCATATCTGAGGAGGTAGCAGAGAAATTTAGTCCAGTATAGCTTTAAACTTGAACTTGACATCATTGTCACATAGTGGAGAAACACCCAGACCTGGTGATGTCCCTGGGAAACCAGATGGCCCCAAAGGCAAGTGTTTTCCTATGGAAATGGGTTATCCCCAGCTTTATAGGTTGGAGTGTGGTGCCAATTATGGATCTTTATTGTGGCTTGAAGCTGATGGTTGCTCGGGGTCTTGGGATCTAAAGAAGATAAAATTCATGGTTGGGTCTTTTCTCTCCTTTGACCCCAAGCTTATGTATGACAGCCTTCTTTCCCTGAACCCCAGACTCTTCCATCCCTGTATTTGCAGAATGGGGCAAGACCAGAGTCTGGCTGGGAAGGAGACCTCTACTCATCCCTCTAAAATTGCCTCTCACCTCCTGCTGCTATGAGCTCCCGGTGGGGGCCGCATGGACTGGCAGGTCTTCTCTGCTGGGCACCTCTTTCTACCACACTCTCTGGCATTTTCACATAAAGTACAATTTTTTATGCCAGCCTAAAATCACTACCCTATCAAAACTCACTTCATTTTTCTTGCTTTTAAAAGATGAACAATCAGATGTCGTTGCCTAAAGGAGTATCCTGAAATCTGATATCCTCAATCAGTGGTTAAATTCAGAATCATTTAATTCCTCTTTTCTAGTCTGATTTGCTTTGAACACAGCCTTGCAGAAAAGCAAAAAAGTTCCCAGCTCAGTTTTCAGATGGTTTACATCACTATCCCCTTCTTTACACTGCAAATACAGTAAAGCAAATCATATTTATAATCACCCATTACTAGCTGATCATAAATTGTTAATATTTTAGGGCATGCGGCTGGCTATATGATTGTTATCTGCAAGGCTACTCCAGTAGATGTGCTAACACCCAACTGCTCTGTGTGCCATGAGTTCTGATACCCTTATTGGAATCAAGGCAGTGCTGTTTTTGTTTACAATTAATTTATCAATATAAGAGTAATGGCACCTCATTTTTTTAACAAAAAATAAGCTCTGCCAACAGTAAATGATTCTGTTAAGTGGTATAAAAATTTGTGAATGTTGAAATTCAACATGCTTCATATTATAACCAACCTGCAAGAATATTGTGGTCAATTGTGTGAATACCAAATCAATATATACTGTATATTGTACTATGGAAATTTGTATTTAAAGGCAAAGATATTAGTAATTGTTGTTATAACTGGGGGAAAGGGTATTAGATATTGATTAACAATGAGAAATGCAACAAACTTCCTTATTTATGCCTTATGAATAAAAGGGTGTGAAATGTAAGGTGAAGTTTTATGTGTGAGACTCAAGGAATGGGTATTTTTGAAGGCAGGGATTGTCTTTTCTATGTTTGTTCTGTATAGTTGTCAGCACACTCTTGGTGCTTGATCAATGTTATATAATACCAATAACTAAGCACATTTTTAGATCTTTTTTCAAATGGCTTGTGTAAAATTTGGTTAATGTACGATGGTTGGTTTGAAGCTATCATGTAAAATCTGCCTCTCCAAATATAATCAAAAATAAACTGAAAAATTATAAGCTATCTTTCAGTGAGATTTTATTCTATGCGTAAATTATAAGTGTTCGGTGTTATGCACACATTGTTAAGTGTCCAACTTGGTGATTTTTCACAGTTGTAAACCATCCATAACCATCACATTTGCTCATTACAAGCACCAAAATGAAAAAGCAGGACATTCGGATACCCTAGAAGCCTCCCTCATGTCCCCTTCCCATTAAAACCTGGCAAAGAAAAATGGCCAGCCTAACTTCTGAGGGCACACATTCGTTTGCTGGTTTTTAAACTTTATATAAATGTGTTCGTGCAGTTTGTACTCTTAAAAAAATGTACTTGACTCAGTGTTACATTAGTTTCAGGTGTACAACATGGACAAGTCCACATGGGATGCTGAGCTCACCACAAGTTTAGCTACCATCTGTCACCACACCGCAGTATCAGTGACTGTATCCCGTGACCTTCCCCATCTCATAAACTGGAAGCCTGGACCTTCCCCTCCCCTGCACCCACCTGCCCATCCCCTGCCCGCCCCTCTGGCAACCACCAGTTTGTTCTTTGTATTTACAGGTCTGTTCTGTTTTCTCTGTGTGTGCTACATGAAATAAGTCAGAGAAAGACAAATAACATATGATTTAATTTATAGGTGAGTTTAAATAACAAATGAATACACACTTTGTGCTCTTTTGTGTCTGTCTTCTTTCACCCAAAACAATACTGTGAAAACATTGTGTTGCAGTGTGGTCTTCCCACTTTGTTGCATTAACTGAGGGAGAACATGGTACAATTTATTTATCTCTTCTACCGTTGAAGGACATTTGGGTAGCTTCTGGTTTGCAGCTATGAACACTCTTGTCTGTGTTTTTGGTGAATGCATGTGTGCATTTCTGCAGTGGGAATAAAACTGCTGAACCATGAGGTATAATCAAGGTCTGCTATAGCAGATATGCCCAAAAAGTTGTCTCACATGGTTCCACCAACTGACGCTCCATTGGTAACATGCACTCAAGGTCCAGTTGCTGTACATCCTACTCACAAGGCACCCTCTCTCATTTTAGCCATTGTGCAGGTATGTAGTGGTACCCCATTGCAAATTTAATTTACATTTTCCTGAGGATGAATGAGACTTGCTACCTTTGTGTGTTCTTTGGCCCTTTGTCCTAGTTTGTGAAGTGCCTGTTCAAATTTTTCCCAGTTTTCTATTAGGCTGGTTTTCTTTTTCTT